CCCGTGGCCTCCGAACCCTAGCTCCGCCTCTCCGGCCACTCTGCCCTCGACGGGTGGCGCGGGGCTCTGGGCTAGGTGTGCGCGCCAAGGCAGTCCGGGGCTGGTTGGGAGACTTAAGCGTGACTGGCAACTGGCTTTCCCTTGGTGTGGAGCGCTGGGCAGCCTGTGCCCAGAAGTCAGGTCTGGGTCAGGGAGCAAGCAGGACCTAGAAAGGGCCGAGGCTGGACTCTGCACTTAACCTCTCTAGGCAAAGAGGATGATTGCTTTGCTTTGGGCCCCGGCTGCAGCTAGAACAGCAACTGACTGCACACTAGCTGCATGACCTTGGGCATGTCACTTCTTGACTTGCTCGTCCATAAGGGTAGTGACTTTGTACTACTGCCTGGGGTTGATTAAATGACCTGGTGATGTGCAGAAGTAAGGCGCTAGTCATGGAATGCCCTTTCTCCCACCCCTGGGAGTATAGGCTGGCTGTCATTTAGACTAAGAGAAGCCCAGTTTGGGCACTAAATCTGTGCAGCTCCCAAGGACTGCCAACCTGGGGCTCTTTTTCCTGATGCAACCCTGCAGAGAGGCAATGGGGCAGGTTGATCTCGATTTATGGCCCGTGCAGGGAGGGCCTCAGCAGACTCAAGCGTACAGTCCCACCAGGGGAGCTCCCAGCACTGTTACAGATCGACAAACCTACACACTCAGGAGAATCCAGTGAAATGAAGGAAAAGCATGACCTCATAACTCAAACTGCAGGACCAGGCAGTGTTAAATTTAGTTTCATCATTATCTGTGTCAGAAGCCAGCAAAGTGTACCGTGGTCCTGATCAAAATGACATTTCTTCGGCACTTGATGTGAGAGGTAGAAGACCTTTTGGAAGGGGAAATTCTGCTATGGGAAGTTAGTTCCTGAGACAGGCCAGAGTTTATCCAAAAGAAATAATCAGCTTTTTGTGTCTTCAAACATCCTAAGAGCTAAGATTTTGCCTTTTGGTCGCTCTGGCTTCATTGCTCTCAGTAGCTGTCAAATCCCCAGGGCCTATTGTCTGAGTTGAAGACAGCTCTCCTGTTTGGTTAGGGCTCCAGACTCCAGCTACTCTTGCATTATTCTGCCCAGGGTGGCCCAGCAATTTGTCTCAGCTGAAAGTGGTTCTTAAACTGGATGGTAAATTACAAAGTGCCTGGGATTTGGGTTCCAGTAATTAAATGAGCTCTACACTACAAGAGTCAGAGAGGCAACAGTTAGCTCTCCCTTGGACATTCTTGTCTTCTGGAATAACCTTGTCTACCCCTTGGCCCTGCTGGCCTTTGAGTCTAGTGCGTCTCACTGAGTTACTTATGAACAAGGTCTGTGCTCCTGATTTTGCCTATGGGGCAGGAAGTTTCTTGGAGCATGTGTTCCGTCACCCTGGGATGCTGTTGAGTGGCTCTTTAGGTCTCTTTGGACAGTGCAGCCACAAACTCCACAGCCTGTCACTCAGCTTGGTAGGTCTGGTCCTGGACATGATGGGGACATTTTCGAACTGAAAGATGACTGGCTTGGGGGTAGGAGCTGTCCTGGGTGTAATTACTCAAGGAAAGCCCTGTTACCCTTTCTTCCCAAACCTGCTTTTCTTTCCCTTCCTTTAAGTGCACAGCTAATGTGGAAAAGGCCGGGAGCTTTCCTACCTCTGTCTACTCAGTAAGAGCTCTTTAAAGATCGTATTGCCATTTTCAACCAGGAGAATTTGTGATTCATAAACAAGTCGTAGATGTTTTTAGTTTTGCTTTATAGATGAGTCAGTGGGGTGGGGGTCGGGAGGGGGCTGTTTGTGTTCACACGGTAGACATGTGTCACCTCAGCCATTATGATGGCTGCTTTTGCCTCTTGCTGCATTCTCTCCTCAGAGATGGCCTTTGTGTGACTCTCTCCCAAACCCTTAATGGGCAATTAGTGTTCTGTTCCCTACCTGCCTGAGTCACAGCCTTGGTTTTCTCGTCCATCCATCTGGCTGTGCTCTAACATCCTGTTTTATTGCCAATCAACTGGTTAACCTGGTTTGATTTATTGAACACGACCCACAGGTAACTTAGGCCAGCTACAAGTCACTTTTCTCAAATTACGGATCTCTTCCAGTCTGATACAGGTTCTGTCCCTTTCCATTAAAAAATATGCATCTAATAAAGACAAACTAGCCTCCGTTTCCCTCTCTAAGCATCACTCCAGATAATGCAACAAGTTTGTTTTTAGCACGAAATACAAATTATGTGCCAGTGAGATGGCTCAGTGAGTAAGTAGGTAAAGATGTTTGCTGCCAAGTCTGATGACCTGAACTCAGTCCATGGGACCTCGTGGTGGAAGGTGAGGACTGACTTCCAAAAGTTGTCCTCTGATCTCTACATGTATGCTGTGGAGTGCACACAACATGTGTTGCATGTCCGGACACACACAAAAAGTAAAAATTAGGAAGAGTCAAATACTGCCATTGATAGTTAACATAGCTATATGGATAATGGAAGGGAACCCAGAGAGTAGCTGTGAGAACTTCTAAGAGAGTTGAATGGGTTGCCAGAGCTCTGACCACCTGTACCTCAGCAGACAGAAGACAAGAGAAACTGTAGTTCATCACAAAATAAAAGCTGTGAGATACTTAGGGATGAGTTAAAGGGGGAGAATTTATGGAAAGAATGATAAAGTGTTTTTGTTTTTGAGGCGCTGGGAATGGATCATGCTAGGGTAATGCCGCTGAACCACACCTATAACCCCTCAAAAATTATTTGTCCCCCCCACCGCAATTAATCCATTAATTGCATAAATCCACATGTGATTGAACTGTATGTAGAATCCACAGATGAAGTATAGAGTTCATATGGTGTGGTGAGGTCCAAGAATCCCTCAGACAAGTCTGGGAAAGAAGAGCAAGGAGGGGCTGGCCCAGCGATGGTCCCACCCATCCTCGGAATGAGCCCGAAGCCCAGCATGCGTGGGAGCCTGTGCATGCCAAAGGAAGAGTTACAGATGGATGAGGAAAGATGGACCATTTAGTTAATAAGTGGTTCTGGGAGAACTGACTGTCCACATGGAGGAACAATTAGAGTCTTAGTCTACACTATACAATGTTGAATTCTAGATGGGATTAAAGACCTGAGTGTACATAAGATTTTTAGAAAGATATAATGCCCTACCCTTTTGACACTGGGAAAGGAGGCAAATCTATTCAAAATAGATTTGAATTTAGGATTTAAAAGTGGGCAAATAGCAACTACTTTAAAGTTCTTGGTCTAGAAATCTAAAGCAGCTCCTGATAGCCTGTGCCTCAGAACTCCTGCCCATAGGCTTTGCTTCTGTTTAGGTAGTTTGAGGTTTCTCTTAGTCTGCATTTTTATTTTTGATTAAAAATCTTAGTAAAACTAGAGTTTATAAACAATAAACTGGTGCAAAGGGGAAAGATTACTGTGCCAAAATAAAATAAAAGCCCTCAAAGAGTATTGAGAAAGCCATAGACTAGGAAAAGTAGTTAGAGAAGATAACAAAAATTAGGGCACGGGTTTACTTTTAAAACACAAATTAATGAGAAACAAGACAGATGCTCAGTAGAAAAGCAGAGAAGCGGGTGAGCAGAGGAAATGAATGGCCAATAAAGAGGGGCTGCTTGGGCTGGCTAGGAGCTGCCCAAAGGCGACAGTGACACTACTTCACACCTATCAGATGGGTAAACCCTGTACAGTGTCAAGTCCTGAGACCTCTTCTTGTTCCTCGTTGAAATTGGTGTATTCGCTAGAGGGAATTTGGTTCCATGGTGAGACATGTTGCACCAGCTACTCCACATCAAGGCTTGTACTGGGGAAACTTGCTACGTGCACAAGGAGACAATAAGGAGAATGCCCATTGAGACTTCCTTTTCATATACATAAATGAAGGGCAAAGCAGCCTGAACATCCACCAGAAGAGGAGGGAAGAAGTGACTAAGAATAGTCACACTGTGGAATAACCAGACAGTGGTTACAGATTCATAACGGAGACACATATGTGCACTGTTCAGTCAGAATCAAGTTTTAAAGGCAGTTTCGGGTGCACAGTATTTATGTGAGCTTTTAAAAACAAAACGTACTGTATTATTTGGTGGCTGAACATAAGGATAACAAAAATTTAGAAGCCTAGGCAGCAAGAATGTCCTTCAAATTCTAGTTTATAAAGGCTTCTAAGAAGGGGAAGACTTGTAGCTTTCTTAATCCTTTTCTATTTTTTAATTTTTAAAGATTTATTTGTTTTGCTTTATGTATGGTAGTGTTTTGCATACCTTTGTATGTGCAGCATATGTGTGTATGGTCCCTGTGGAGGTCAGAGGGAGGGTGTCAGATCCCCTGGGACTGGAGTTACAGTTGGTTGTGACCCACCTTGTGGGTGTTGGGACCCGAACCTGGGTCCTCTGAAAAAACAATGAATACTCTTAGTTACATTCTCAAGGTGCACATACATGTCTTCTGTGACCTCAGGTTTCTCATTGTTGGCCTTAAACTGCACTGGGTTAGACTACTCAGAAAATAGTGCTTGTGTGTGTGTGTGTGTGTGTGTGTGTGTGAGAGAGAGAGAGAGAGAGAGAGAGAGAGAGAGAGAGAGAGAGAGAGGGACAGACTAGATTTTTGTTCTTCCCTAAGCAATAGGGAACAGCAACTCCTTGCACAGGCCCACATGGGGTTAGGTGTCATAAGTAATCTAGCGATGATCTAAAGTGTGTGGGAAGATGCTCTTTACACATACCCTATCATTTGTACAGGGAGGTGAGCATCCTTGTTTGTGGTATCTGCGGGTACTGAAGAATGCTTGCGCTGAAAGAAATGCATCTGGCTTATGTACAAATTATGTTTAGGCAGTTGGCATTTTTCTTCAAGTCAGAATACATTACATATGACGTTGCATATGTTTGCTTGCAGCATGCATACATACATGCATACAGGTCCACATATGGATCTACACATAAAATGTTATGAGGGAAAGAAAGGAAAAGTGTATATCAGACCCACGTGCCATGGCGTTCCTGGACTGCCTGAAGCACATCCATGGACACCCGAGGTGCCTTCGGGCCTGGGTTAAGAAGCCCCTGCTTAAGCCGGGCAGTGGTGGCCTACACCTTTAATCCCAGCACTCTGGGAAGCAGAGGTAGGTGGATCTCTGAGTTTGAGGCCAGCCTGGTCTACAGAGCAAGTTCCAGGACAGTCAGGACTACACAGAGAAACCCTGTATCGGAAAAAAGGGAAAAAGCAAAGAGAAGCCCCTGTTTTAAGACCTCCCAGGCAGGGCCCATCCACTTGTTGAGGAAATAGTGACTCAGTGAACATAAGGCCTGGCCACAGATCACACGGTATTTGGATAGAGCGGCACCAAGCACCAAGTACTCTGGCTTCTAGCCATTGCCCATCCCCTCTACCATACTCCTTTCTTCTTTGCTCTGTCTCTTGGCAGAAGGTCCCTCATTCCAGTGCATGTACATGGTTACCTCTGACACTGATGACTCCTAGACAAGGCAAGTTGTTTACGGGCTGGGCGTGCAACACCGTTTTCTCCTCACTTGGAACTGCGGTGAGGCATCTACAGCTCTTGGAAGTGATGTTTATCTGAAGGGTGGCACTCTGACACCATACTTCCCCTCGTGTTTGTGCTTTGCCTGGGGTATTGAGCTAATTTGTTAGTTCTGAGTCTGAACTAATAAAAAGAGCAGGCTGGCTGCCAGGGCCCGAAAAGATCTAAGAGCCTTAAATGATTTTGAACTTGCCCTAAATAGTGTTCCTTAAAATAGCTAGTGAACAGGCCATCCCTGGCCCAGAATTTCAGGTAAGGCTGTGGAATCCATTTGTCAGCAGAGGAAAACTGTTGCGCTGTGGACAACTTGTTCTCACGATAAAGATCCAACTGAAGCCTTAACCAGGTGTTAGAATAGTGGGCCAGAACTTGTGCCAGCCAAAGCACCAGGGGCTTGGTGGCGACAAGGCAAAGCCCACAGTGCCAGTCATCTGTGACCTAGTTCCTGAGTACTGCCTTCTGGTCTCAGGCTGTCTTGCAGTTTAGGCACAGCTGGCCTGGGAGAGGTCTTGGATGTGCATTGGGGTCACAGACAAGATTGGAATTTTTGGTCTTGTGTCATACTGTCTCATTTGGCATCTCTACTTAGTGGACAGGGCTTTGATGGACTAGACTGCCCTCCTGAATCACTGAGGCTGGGTGGACAGCAGTGACTGGAATTGATCTGGCTCGATTGAGTGCATGGATCCAGGAGGGCCCCAAATGGCAATATCCAAAGGTAGACATGGAATGGGGCCTGAGCAGCTGGCCAGACCACCAGCCCACTGAGAGCATTCAAGTGTTTCCCAGGCCGATACCAGGGAGCACATCAGGAACACAGCAGTAGACACAGGGCAAGGAAGCCTGCAGACACTGGGACCTCAGTTTGCCTTGCTTTTGGGTGGTCAGAGGGCCACACAGGGGCTGGCCAGACACTGTTTCCAGTGTCTGTCAATTCCCTGCTGTCCTGGGAACATCCCTAGCCTGTTTGGGTCTCTCAGCCTCTGCAAAGATGGCAACTTTTTGAGCCCTCCTCTGCCTAACCCAAGATGAACAGGAGCCTCTCCTCCTCCCAGGACCTGCACACAGTCCTTCTCTGCACCTGCCCCCAGTGCCTATCTTCCTACTGGCTCTCAAGACTGTGCTGTGACCTCAGGGCTGACCAGAAGCCCTGGCATGTCCTTACTCTGATGTTTCTTGTGTGGGTATCCTTGCTTGAGGACCCTTATGTCAGCTCTGTAGGGAAATGTCATCTACTGACCCTGAGGTATTTGGTCCAATTAGAGTTTGGCAAACCCGTGATTGACAGACCAGGGCCCAAACCCACATTCAGAGGCTCATTTTCCACGTTCATCACCTTTGGCAGGTGTCTCTGCTTCTCAGTCAAGGGCAAGTCACGCTCTTACTGAAAGCCTTACGATTCCTGATGAAATAAACAACTGAGCGAGTGACTAATGAAGCTACTACAGTCAGTGTCTTTCCACCTGGAACTACATGTGCTACATATTAGTTCCTTGTGTGTATACACGCATGCACTGTGCTGTGTGTTACTTGTGTGTATACACGCATGCACTGTGCTGTGTGTTACCTGTGTATATACACAATTGCGCTGTGTTGTGTGTTACCTGTGTGTATACATATATGCACTGCACTGTGCTGCCTGTTACCTGTGTGTATACACATATGTGCTGTGCTGTCTGTTACCTGTGTGTATACACATATGTGCTGTGCTGTCTGTTACCTGTGTGTTTACACATATGTGCTGTGCTGTCTGTTACCTCTGTGTTTACACAAATGTGCTGTGCTGTCTGTTACCTGTGTGTATACACATATGTGCTGTGCTGTGCTGTCTGTTACCTGTGTGTTTACACATATGTGCTGTGCTGTGTATTACCTGTGTGTATACACATATGCGCTGTGCTGTCTGTTACCTGTGTGTATACACATATGTGCTGTGCTGTGCTGTCTGTTACCTGTGTGTATACACATATGCATTGTGCTGCGTGTTACATCTGAGCACACTTAGCTGTAAAACTCACCTTCTGTGTCCTCATTTCAGAGAGGGACCTCCCACTCTGGTGCCTGAACTAGAGACCTGGAGTTGCCTCTGGCTCTAGTTGCTCACATCTGTTCTATAACCAATCCCATCTCACCACAAACGGACTGGCCCTGAGGGCCCCTCTGCTCCTGCCACTGTGCCTCACAGGCTAGCCCCCCCCCCAGTCCACTTGCCTGCATACCAGACTGCTGCAAAGCCTTTGCCTCACCACCGCCTCCCACCCCAGTCCCAGCTGCACACCTCAGAACCCCCTTTCTTCACTCCCAGACTTCCCTTTAGGCTTCCTCATGCTGCCCTGTCTGCCTAGGATGGACCTCACCCTCCTAGCTATCCCTCATCTTTCCCAGCTTAGCAGCCCTCTCCTGAGTGCCCCAGCCCAGAGGCTGTATCTGTCTTCTGGGCTCCTCATCGCTGTCATCATCCCTGATGATTATGGCCTGCTGGTTTGTCTGCCACTTAGACTCTGGGCTTTCTGGTGAGTCTCAAGTTGGTCCTCTGGCTGTTCTTCCTCTGAAGTCAGTTCCGATTCTACCGCTGTCTCTGGGGATGCATGTTCATTTAGTGAGTCCTTGTAGAGGTTGTGAGCCTTCGTGGTCAGAGCCCAGCCCTTATTTTATTGAACATCTCTCCCGCTGCTTTTTTATTTTAAATCTCTTGCTTTTCAGATTCGATCAGCCCTGGGTGTGCATATGCATGAGGACACCCTCCTGGGACACTGCCCTTTGCTTCTGGGTCAGGTCAGCTCCACACTGAGTTGAAGAGTCCCATGTGCCCTGGCAGTTCCTGGGGTCCTGCCATGCATGCCTCCCATCCCACAGGTCCTATCATTCCATCGAATCCTGCATCTTCCTGGTGTCCTCATGCCTCTGATGTGAGGGATCTGAAGACAGTGATGGGTCCAAGGCCTCTGTCTGGTCCCGCAGGGAACCAGGATGAATAGCCATCAGCTGTTGGGAGCCTCGCACTCTGTGGAATGGGATCAGCAGCCTTGGGTTCCCATAGTAACCAGCCCATCAATGCCCTCAGTGTCGAGATGGTGGCACCGCAGAGGGGAAGAAATAGTCTCATTGTCTCCCCTTTGGCCGCTTGGGCACAAACAAGCCGCACCCCGCAGGGCCCTGCAGTGCCCTGAGGTCCAGCCAGACTTGCTGATCTGCAGTGGTACGCTGCACATGTCCCTTGCTGAACTAGGCCAGGAAGGAGGCCATCACTGTCAGTTCTTGGACCCTCATGGGGACTCTTAAATTCCTGCCATTGGCCATCATCAGTCATAGAGCCCTTGTTGATTAGGGCCAACTTTTCAAAGGCCAGCCAGTCCACTCCTGCCATGGGGTAAACAAATCCCTTGTGTTTCTGAAGGAACCTGGACTTCCAAACTTTCCCCCTTTGGTTTCCAGTCATCCTGGTGACAATCTCAGAAATGATCACAGGAGAGGCCTAGGTTACCTGTGTGATCTGATCACCAGCAGAGAGAGACAGAGACAGAGACAGAGACAGAGAGAGACAGACAGAGAGAGACAGAGAGACAGAGAGAAGGGAGAAGGGAGCCACTATGGAATTCAGGACCCTCTCCAGAACTCCTTGAGGTAACCTACACCCCCAAGCCTGCCCCTCTGTCCACCTTGTGTTTTTCCCTGCCCTCCAGGCTGGAAATCACAGTATTTCCTTAGATTTTTCCCTTCCCTGGTATTGGCAGCCCCTAGATAAAGTCCCTGCCAACCTACCTCCCGATGCCTCTCACCCCTTTCCCCACAAGCCAGCAGCCACAGCCCAGGCCAGCCCATGCTTGCACTCTGCTAACACCTGAATTGCTGCCCCATTACCTTCCCTGACTCCCTTCTCAGTCTTGACCCCACCAACCAGAAAGTTCTTTAGTGTCACAGGCCTCACACTGTCCCTTCCCTACTTCCAAGCTGTCAGAGGCTCCTGTGTAGCATGGCACACACAGCCCCTGTGAGGTTCCTGTCTGCCCCTGTATAATCTCGAGCCTAGCTCCTTCCTACTGGCTCCAGCAGTGCCAGAACTTTGATGTTCTGGAAACCTTACCCGTGCTCTCTTTCTACATCTGCTATTTGTTATTGCTCACATTCTCCATGTGATCTACCCGGAGAACCACATCATCCTTGAGGACTGGCTGCGACAGTCTTTTCGGACTTGGCTACTGCTGATAGGCTTGAGCACTGTCCACCCAGATCTCCGTGAAGGGCTTGGCCACAGTTGTGTGAGGGTATGTTTTCTCCCTGGACTGCAGCATGGTGTAGTAAGTAGTAGCTTAAACTTTGTATCTCCTTAGGACCTGGCCTGCTTCCTGGCACATAGACTCAGTTAACCTGAAACCTTTACAGTGTTTTTTTCCAGGACTTATGGTTTCTTGATTCACTCACTGAAAACACAAATAAGGGAAAATGCTAACTTTATTATCACAGCTGCTGTTGAGTTCTCCATTTGTAACTGTCAAGGACATGTATGGCCTTCTACCCCATGACAGCTCTTGGTACTTTGCTGTTGAGTGATATGTTCTCCAGGACTGGGTCTTGCTCCATGATTTCAGGCCACCTGCAGGGACTAAATAAAATCAAGGCCAAGGAATAACCTCAGCCTTCCCTGCCATGTGGCCACTACAAGGCAGAACTGATGCATCTGGCAGTACCCAGGTTCCAAGACTGGTGTCTCAGAGTAAGCTCGAACCCTTTGCTCCTAAGTGGACAAAGGACAGGAAGAAAGCAGCAGGGCCAGGAAGTTGAGGTAGAAGAAACGATGGGGGGGGTGGGGGCAGGAAGGATGGCATAGAAAGAGTCTGGAGACTTTGCTGACAGTTTTAGTCTTTGGAGTGGCAATTCAGATCCTGACCACACTGTGCCTCAGGTATGGCTGTATTTAGATGGCAACTTAGTCAGCTGATGCCACGCCCACCATGACTGTCACCACCTGGCTTCTAGCTGGTCCTTACTAGCCACCAAATGCTGCTGGTAATGCCTAGACTCCTGGTGTTAACTTCTGGGGGGCAAATTGACCCCCAGAGAGGTTGAGTAATTTACTACAGTTTAGTGGATGCCCACTCAACAGCTTGGCAGTCTGACTTGCGGGCCCTACTCTGGCAGCGTCAGCCCTGTTAGGAAAGGGACAGAGAGAAGTGATATATGAGCCAGTGGGGTCTTGAGTCAGGTTTTCCAACCAGCAAAGAGCAGAGGGTTGCAGTCCAGGCAGGAAGGTTGGGGAGGAAGGGCGGTGCCCTGGGAAGGTGCCTTTGTGGCCCTGTTAAGTGAGGGTGCCTTGTACTTGGGATCCTCCCTTCTTATCAGGCCTCTAGCCCAGAGCTTACATCAAAGGCTTATCTATGCAGGAATGAAGGCAGACCAGCATTGCCTAGGATCAAACCCCTGGGCCTTACACATGCTAGGCAAGCACTCTACCACTGAGCCACACCCACGCCCTAGACCAGCTCCTTTACATTGGATCGAAGAATTTCAAGAGCAGGGAAGGTTTCTTGTATGCACTCCCAGCCTAGTGTATACCCCTCAGCCTGGTGAATACCCCCCATCCTAGTGTATACCCATCTTAGTGGATACCCCATGCTAGTGTATACCCCCAGCCTAATGTATAACCCCCATCCTAGTGTGTACCCCATCCTAGTGTATACCCCCATCCTTGTAAACCCATTGTGTTCCCATTATAATGGTACTAAGCATCAGAGTGAGAAAGTAGAACCTAGAGGTAAGGAAAACCCTGGTGTGTACCCAGGGCTGCACTGAGGGTGGCACAGTTAAGTGACAAAGCCTAATAGTCTTCATCCATTGCAGCAATGAAATGGAGTCAGTACAATAAAAAATTTAAATACAGAAAAGATTGGAAACAGAAAACTATAGTAATCATCCATAATTCTATAAATCACCCATAAATCACCCAAATCCATAAATTACCCAAAGATGATTACAGTTAAAATTTGGACCATGTCCTTTTGTTGTGTTTTTAATCTTTGTATGTGGTTTTGGACGTGTGAATGCCATGGAACACATGGAGGTCAGAGGACAACTTCAGGCTTTGATTTTCAACTTCCACTTGTTTTAGACTGGATCTCTTGTTCACCATTGTGAAAACCAGATTAGCTGGCCCAAGAATATCTGAGATGCTCCTATCTCCAACTCCCATCTTGCTGTAGGACTGTTGATTACAGATGGGTCCAGCCTTATGTGGGTTCTGAGGATCCAAACTCATGTCCTCACATTTACACAGCCAGTGCTTCTCCCACTGATCCATCTTCCCAGACTTTTTGCTATTTCTGTAACTGTGTGCGCATATGCACACATACTTGTGCTAATATATGTGTACACACACTCCTATATGCATGGATGACTTACACAAATAGACTGAATAGTTTTGAAAATTTTTGCTCCTAAGTTAGTAACTATTCTCCATTGTAATTTTTAATGGGTGGTATGCCATTGTGTGGCTGACAGATAGTTTCCTTAGCATTTCCATGACATTTCGATCAAGGGATTCTTTGTGTTGGCAGCACTTGGTCTGTAATGCCAGGACCTTGTGGGGAGGTGGCTCCACTGCTTCTCTGTCCCCACTGACCAGATCACATCTCTACTGACAGGTGCCTTTTCTGTCTTTGTAGAACTTAGAAATATTTGTTTAACTCATGATATTTATTGAGAAGTTTTCTATTTTACAAAATTACTGGGAGTTGTAGAGATGGCTCAGTGGTTAAAAGCACCGGATGTTCTCCCAGAGGACTCAGGTTTGATTCCCAGCATCCCCATGGCAGGTGACAGCCATCTGTAACTCTAGTTCCAGGAGATCTGATGCCCTCTTCTGATCATTTCAGGCACATGTGGTGCCCAGACACACATGTACACAAAACATCTACACAGATAAAATTAAAAAAAAAAAAGAACCTATAGATATCTCAGTGGTAGAGCACTTGCCTACAATGCACTAGGCCCTGGGTTCAATCTCCAACACTGAAAAAACAAAACAAAACAAAACAAAACAAAATCTTTCTATAGTTACTTTGCCACCATAGACTTCAAACAGTGCAGATGTATAAAGAGGAAAAAAACTAACCCTGAGTGTCTGTGCTATACTCATGCCACTTGTCCCTTCCCCCTGATATTACCACTGCTCACATCTCAGTATATGTGTTTCCGTTCTTATTTCTTGAAAGAAAAATATGAACATGTTCACAGACAGAACATTGGACTTGGATCCAGATAAGCATTCTTTTAATACCCAGCTGTCTTAACCACCCTGGAAGTGGTGAGCTGCCTCCTTTCCTAGGTAATATAAGTAGCTCTGTGTCATTTTTATGGCTGTGGTGGATATCTTGTTGCACTATTAATCTTCAGATCTTCATTTGACTTACCTCCATGCTGCCATGATCCTTCTTATTCATTTCTCCCTGAGCACATGCATGGGAATTTCTCATGGGATACCTCAG